TTTCCAAGACCCAAGATTTTGCCTTCCTCTCCTTTCCCCTCCCCTTCTTTCTCCTCCTCCTCCTTGCTAGTAGCAGCTTTCTTAGCAAATTGCAGGCTTCGCCTCTGGCTTGCTGGATAGCGGTGGCACAGCAAGCCTTTGCTAGTTTCCAAGGGAGACCGGGTGCTGAGACTGCAGTCTTTCCCAGCAGCCACTTACCTTTCTTGCTATTCATCTCCACGCATCTCTTGACCTTCATGCTGCTATGCAGGCCTGCGCAAGGAGGTAACGGTCTGTTTTCTCCGAGCTCTCTCTGTCAGTGGGGACTGTGGGGATGTGGGGTGCTTTGGGGTGAGGCATATGGAAGCAGCAGAGTGTCAGTGCTGCAGTTAGTTCTCTAAAGCCTTCCACATCTGTGTGCTTATTCCTATTTGCTGTGCCTATAAATAGCTTGAAGGTAGGAGCCTCAGCACTACCTGATAAAACTGAAAAATACTCTGTGTAAAAATGTAAGTTTCCTGTAACGTTCACTCTGGGAAGCATAGAAGAAAAAGAACTTTGAGAAAAAAAATGAATTCATTTTTCTGCTGTTGGACTTAACTAGCTAACAAACTTTATTCATGGCACGATTCTACTCTGTTAATAGTGTGTGAGTTGATTCTCGTTTCTAGGCTTAAGAAGCAGAATTGACAGTAAGATCTTGTAATTGGATTCTTAGGGTATCTAGAGCCATGCAGTCCAGTATAGTAATTGGTAATCATGTGTGACTGCTTAAATTAATTAAAGTTAGATAGAAATAGGAATTCCTCAGGCACACCAGCAACATTTTAAGTAACCCTTAGCCAATTAGATTGTGGTAGGTATACAACTTTCCCTCTGTCATACACAGTTCTATTGAACAATACCAAAGAAAGTGACCCGTGGATATAGAAACTGAATACAGTCAGCTCTCTGTGTCCATAGATTCTTTTTAAGATTTGTTTGCTCTTCCATCTACTGGTTCACTTCCCAAGTTACTGATGACTAGGGATGGGCCAGTGTGAAGCCGGAACACTGGAACCCCCTCTGATTCTCCCACTTGTGTAGCAAGGGCCTAAGTACTTGAGCCGTCTTTAGTTGCTTTCCCACGTACATTAGCAGGAAGCTGGATTGGAAGTGGAATAGAAGGTCTTGAACTCCTGATGTGGAATGCTGGCATCAAGCGGTGGCTTAGGTGCTGCACCACAGTACCCCTACCTATGGATTTTGTATGTGTAAATTCAACCAACCCAAAGTTGAAAATATTGACGGGGTGGGGGTATTCTATCTGCTGAGCATATACAATCTTTTTCTTGTTATCATTCCCCAAACAATGTAGTATAACAACTATTTACACAGCATATATATTACATTAGCTATTATTAACTTAGAGAGTTCTTAAAAGGATGCTAGAGGGTATATATAGGTTGTCTGCAATTATTACATCATTTTACATAAGGTCCTTGAGCCTCCATGAATTTTGAGATCATCAGCATGTTAAGGGGTATCTTGGAAGCACAGATATTAAGAACAACTATATGAGGAATCCTCACAATTTCATGAAAATGCATATTACAAAAACATTATGCATGAATTTCAAACTTTTGCACCAAAACAAACACCTTCTAATCCCATTTTTAAAAAAGATTCATTTACTTTTATTGGAAAGTGGATATACAGAAAGGAGGAGAAGAGACAGAGAGGTTTTTTTTCTGTAAATGTTTGGATATCTGCTAGGTTTCTGTCAGACTAATGAATAGATATTTATCTTTTTTTTAAGATGATGGAAACTTTTTTGAGGTTTATCTATTTTTATTTACTTGAAAGGCTGGAGAGAGAGAGATCGAGCTTCCATTCACTGGTTCAAGCCTTAAGTTCCCATAACAGTCAGGGATGGTCCAAACCAAAACAGGAATTCGAAACAACATCTGAGTCTCCTATGTGGGTGGTAGAGGCCCAAGCCCTTAAGCCGTCATCCCCTGCCTCCCAGGGTGTGCGTTAGCAGGAAGCTGAATCAGAAGTGGAGGCAGTATTACATCAGAAGTGGAGGCACTTCAATAAGGAATGTGGGTGTCCCAGGTAAAGGCTTAGCCCATTGGGCCACAATCTCTTCCCTTATATTTTAGTCAGAGAACCTAGAGACTATTTGTTCAGAATTGGTATTGATATTAGGATTTCAAATAATTCTTGGATGTGGAAAAAGAATGAAAGCTAAGTTTAATATAGTGCAAAATTTTTGAAACTCATGCATAGTTTTTTCATAATATTCATTTTTATGAGGTTTTTTTGAAAACCCTTTTTATGGATTTACTATGGTTTAAAGCTAGACGGGGCCTTAAAACTATATACTTGGGGCCATCATTGTAGCATTACAGGCCCCGCCAGTCACACGACTGCCCCTAGGGGCACCAATTCATGTTTTAGACTGTTGCGCTTCCGATCTAGCTCCCTACTAGTACACCTGGGAAAGCAGCAGAAGATAGTCAAAATACTCAGGCTGCTAAACACACTGAGAGACCTAAATGAAACTCCTGGCTTATAGCTTCTGCGTGGCCCAGGCTCAGCCAATGTAGCCATGTGAGGAACGAGAGATTCTCTCCGCCCCCTTGCCTGCTTCCCTCCCACCCTCTCTGTTGGTTCTCCTTTCTATATAACTCTACCTTTCAAATTAAAGAAAAATAAATAAATAAGTCTTTAAAAATCTGTAGACTGACCCTCTCTTTTTTAAGTTAATAAGTTCCAAGAAATTAAATGATTCTCTTAGAGTCAAACAGAGCATTAATTGCAAATGTGAAAGTAGAATCAGGGTATCTGTTCTTCCTGCTGCACCACGATGCCCGTGAAGATCTGAGTTACCAGTCACTAGTTGATACGGTCGTTATCTCCAATGTCTGAACCATAAGTTAGAAGAGTTTTTGTTTTGTTTTGCTTAGTTCACTCAGAAGACAGAAATATGTTAAGGGAGGATTCATGCTTACAAAATTTAAAGTAGACTGATACATCAGAATTTCAGTTTAGTCCACATTGAGGGACAAATATGGCAACGTGAGCACTGCCTGGCCGGGACTTCTGCTTCAGGCGAGGGTGTGTTTTGTTTAAGATAACTTTCCTGTTAAGAATAATTAGAAAATGGATAAATATATATTTTTAAATCTCTGAAAATACTGGGCAGTTATTAAGAAGCAAGAACTTTGAGGCAGGGGTGGGGAGCCATTTCTCTGCCAAGGGCCATATAGATATTTATAGCATCATTTTCAGGTCATGCAAAATTGTCAGCTTAAAAATTAGCCTGCTAAAGATTTATTGAATTTTAAATCCTGCTTGCAGTGGTCTTGGAAAGGGCAGACCAAATGATTTTGTGAGCCTTATACAACCTGACTTAAGGGTTCAAGGTCCTATAGGGAAGGAAATCATAGCAAAATGAACTCAGCATTTGACTATACTTTTCTCCTTCAGACATTTGCTATTCAAGATGTAAACAGTAGCCATGAGGCAAAGAAACATCCAAATTTTCAGGAGTCTCCCGGGGCAAAGAAATAAAAACTAGACTACAGGAAGAAGAGTCCTAATAGATTCTTTTATCTTGGATGACTGATGATTATATCCTAAGGACTTAACAGAAATACCATGTGCCCATGGTTGTCAACATGTGGTCCACACCCACCCAGATCAGCATCGTCAGCTGAGAATTAAATATAAATGTTCTCAGATCCCACCAATACCACCTCTATAGAGTCAATACTACTGGAAGTGTGCAATTTCTATTTCACAGGTCCTCACTATGATTCTTACACAGTGGAATTTTGAGAACCACTTCCTTAGCCTAACTTCCAGAGGAAAATATTTCCTCTCCTAAAGGTGACAGCATCTCCCAGATCTGCGAAGAGTCATCATAGTTGTTACTGTTATCACTATGGCCAATTTCTGCCTTCATTGAAGTTTTTATGTTAAATTCAAAAATTACCAAAGTCATGAAACCATACACCATTACTACAAAAAAAAAAAGACAAGATCCTGATGTTCTTAAACAAGTACTCAAAATAATTGATTAATAATATTCAAGAAAATAGAAGATAAAATGGAGACTTTCATCAAAGACTAAGAAAAAATAGACATTCTAGAACTGAAAAATAAAATAAATGAAAATAAGAAGCTCACTTGGTGAGCTTGTATTAGACCAGTTAAAGAGAGAATTAATGAAGTGAACGATTGAATACTGTAAAATATCAGACACAAAGGATGGAAAAGATAACAAATAAGTCATACGAGGAACATTGTTAATAAGGTTTAATATAAGTAGTTAGAATCCCAGAAAAGGAGGAGACCAAGTTTTGTTTTGTTTTCTTTTTCATGGAATGTTAATGTTAATGGATTTGAGTGTTCAGTAGACACATTTTTATTTTATTTTATTTTATTTTCACATTTTTATTTTAAAGTAAGGGTTTTAGAGGGAAGGAGAAATAGGGAAAGAAAGGGGGAGAGAGAATCTTCCGTTCACTAGTTCACTCCCCAAATAGCTATAATGGCCAGAGCTAAGCTGATCTGAAGCTAGGAGGCAGGAGCTTCTTCCAGGTCTTCCATGTGGGCCCAAGGACTTGAACCATCCTGCACATTCTTCCAAGGCTGTAAGTTGGGAGCTGGATCAGAAGTGAAATAGCCAAGACATCAATGGCACCCACATGGGATATTAACACTGCCCGCAGTGGCTTTATGCGCTGTGCCACAACTCCAGCACCAGAACAGTCACAATTACTGATGAAGCACTGCAGGGACAGATCCTGGGCACCCACCATGGCTCCCGTTCAGTATATTTCACAGATGCTAGCATAGCATTAAGGCAAGAAGAGAAACAAAAGTTACAAGGACACAACGAAGTGGTGACATCCTTATTTTATAGATGGCATGATTCCCCATGGACATAACGCAAATATTGATAATCTCTTGAGTTCTGTCCTTTCTATTCACAGCTGATGGCCTCCCTGCCATTCTGACTTTCTCTGCAGGTCCTATCTGACTCCCGTACGGGATGAGGAAGCAGAGTCCTTACGGAAGGCCCGTTCCAGACAAGCTCGGCAGACGCGAAGGTCTACTCAAGTGAGTGGCTCTTCTATAGTGCCATTTCCTTTATTTTTGTCTTGGGAGTATAATAGCAAAATATTAAAATAAGCACCTTATTCCAGCCACTGCATTAAGTGTGTTAAATCTTATACTTCATAGAATCAAATGAGTTCATAGTTCTACTGTCCCTCTTGAGCTCTATTCCTCCAAGCTCCGTGTAAGACTAACGTTCCTGTCATTTTGCTTGGGCCTCCAAGTGGATTCAATCTTAGAATGTAGAAGCCTCTTCAGTGTGTGGAGGCACTTTGTCATTCCTTACTGTATTAAAGACCTTGAAGATCTCCACATCCTTACCACATTTTAAGATTCTCCAAAGGAAAATAATTTGGCATATCTTCAATGTTAAACAGTTACCATTTGACTTAATGGTTCCATTCAAGTATATCTGCAAGACAAATGAGCATATATGTGTCTGTCCATATAAAAACTTTTAAATAGATACTGTAATGATAATATTCACAATTGCTAACAAGTAAAACAGCACAAATGTCTATCAACTTATGAATGGATAAACAATAATGCTCATGCAATGAAATATAACATTAGAAGGAATGAAATACCCATAGAAGTTACAACATGAAAGGACCTTGAGAAAGCATTAAGCTAAGAGAAAAAGGCAAATGTAAAAGACTCCATCTACTGTATGTTTTTCTTTACAGGAAATTTCCCTAATGGACAAGCCTAGAGAGCTAGAAAGTAGACTCCTGCCAAAGGCTGGAAGGCGGACAAAATAGAAAGTGACCACTAGTGGTGTGGGATTTTATTTGTGCTGATGAAATGTTCTAAAATTAGAATGTGGTGTTAGTTCATCACCCTGAAATCTGTGAATATGCTTAAATAACAACAGTGAATTACATACTTTAAAAGGATAAACTTTTGTTTTTTCTTTTTAATTATATTTGGACAATCTTTACATAGTTAATTAGCGTAAAAAGGTTCAAGGGCTATAGGGAAGTAGGTAAGACTATTATTTCCATGTTGTTTCCTTCATGCTTAAAGAGGGATATTAAGGGAGAAGGCCCACCCAGTTTCCCACCCTCCCCAGGTCCTGCATGTAGGGCATGAATTGAGGTTCTTGCTCTGGTGATTTTGATAGTTCAACAGTTATGAATCGCTGCCGGTCTTGCTGCTCCTAGCACTATGAGGTCTTTGAAGAATCCACTGGTTGACATAGTCCATCATAGAGTCTCCATTTGGCCCATATTTTGCTGCCAACATATAGCTGAGGTGGTTGATTGACCTGTTCTGTTCTGTCTTTTCTTGGTTAGGGCTCTGAGTCCAGCAGTTCAATTGGGAAGATCTCCTAAGAAACTTTGAGGTATTCTCAGACCAGATTCTTGTATGTGCCAGCAAGTACAGGGCCCAGCACAGTCCATCTCCCCAATCAGCTGGTGATTGCAATTGCTGGGTTGGTTCTGTTTTCAGCCCCATCTTCCACTGGAATCCATGGTTGTTGCAATTCAGCCTGGTTCTGTCCAGCACATACTCGTCCCTCGCATAAACCAGTGGGAGCTGCAGCCTAGTTGGAGCAACTCACAATAACCCCCACAAGGCCCGCCCCCTACCCTGGTTTGCCAGTATGTGCGGGAGACTAGTTCAGTCTGTCCCACATCCCATTCGGCTCTCGTACATGTCAGTGGGTATTAAAGCCTAGTTCCATCTAACCAGTTCCACTATGTAGCCCACGCAGATGCTGTTGGGTGTCTGTCTAGCCACTCTAGCCCCTGTCCTAGCTTTCGTGTCCTCCTGTGGAAGTGGTAACCCAAGAGGGAGGAGCCCACTGTTTCCCTCCTAGGCCACTCCCACTCCCAGATCATGCACTCTCCCGATGGTTCTGTGGTTTGACTTGACAGAATTAGCCCCCAGCGCCAGCTTCTACCAGCTGATGCTGTGGCTAAGCCCAACCAACCCTCACCCACTCTAATTTTGTTTGCACCAGTAGGAATAATCAGCTCAGCCTGGCTTTTCCCTGATCTAGTCCACATGAGGTGCCCAGGTGTTGTAGCCGTGCTTAGTCTGGTCTGTCCCCATCCCAGCTCACACTCTCTAGTGGGAGTAGCTATCTAACAAGGGAACCCCCCCGCCCCTCCCGCGTTATTCCCCCTGCCAGCTCCGCCCCCTCCATTCCTGGTCCTCACACGTGCTGGTTGGGTGCTGCATTCACATCCAGTACAGGCAACCTCACCTTGGCTTTCTGTATTGTGCTTAAAGGATAAATTTTAATATTTGTGGCTTATGTTTCCATAAAGATTTTATACTCCCTCTCCCAAACAAAAGAATCCCTGTGAGCCACTGAATCGATTTAAGGAAGAACATGATGTAGTGTATGTTATATTTTATAAAAATTATCAAATGAACAATTATTGGAAAAGATAGGTAGTATATTTGCTGAGCCTGGAAGCAAGAGGATTGGCTAGGAAGCTTCTAATGACAAACCAAGCTTACAATGAAAAGAGCATGAACTCAGCCTATAACGGCTATGAGAATAGAGAGAAGGCTACTGACTGGAGCTATTTACGGAGGCAGGGGATGATGAGCCCGTGAAGCAGAAGGGAAAGAAGTGACCAATAGGTGAAAAGGGAACTGGGATACAGTAGTGGCCTAGAAGGAATAGTCAGCTTTCGTTTAAAGGGTCAAGTTGCACAGTTTTAGGAACCTGAGTTCCCATGGGGAAGCTGAGCTGAGAAGGGGCCTTGTATCCTCCAGAACACAGACTGCAGGTCCTTGCTGTCTTCCCTGACCATCCTGAGTGTTCTTCCTGCAGTTTTTCCTGATGTTTACCCTATTTGCTTGTCTTTCTCTCCATTAGAACGTAACTGCTATCATGACTAAAATTGACTATGTATTTTTTGGGTAAAGTTCACAAACTTTATCATTTTTATGTGGACAGCTCACTGGTATTAAGTACCTGCACTTGGTTGAGTAGCTATCACCATCATCCATCTCTAGTACTTTTCTGCAAATTAAAACTATATGTTCAGGAGAATTAAGATGGCAGAGTAGGATAAGAACATGTTTAAACAGATGGAGAAGTATTAGTCAGTGTGAAGCAGAAAGGGCACATTCCATGAAATAGGAGAGGACAGAACCACAACAGAGAGGTACTTGGAGAATGACAGACACAGGAAAACAGCAGACAAAACAATGTGGTGTTACGGTGACTGATACCCAGCAGCCTTCAGCAAGCTGCAATCTGAACTCCACCGACAGCCAGAACTCCACCAGCAACAAGGTGGGAAGGGATGTTTATCAGGAAGCTCAGGAGGTGAACCCAGACAAAGAACTGCTTGTCCTGCTGGTCTGTTTAATTTGTCCAGGAGCAGAGACAGAGCAGCAGATACCAGACGAGCAGTGCAGGAACAGGGTGGATTTCACAATCCAGTCCACCTCCTAGAGCTGAATCAGGCGCCATTTTGTTTAAGGAAGTAAGGGCTATGGGGCAGGACTGTGCATGCACTGAGCTGGGAGTAAACGTATTTCTGGCTCATAGAACTGCAACAATGTGGCATTCTACAGGTTCCACCCAAGATAAATCTAGGTTACTCTCAAACCTGATAGCTAGCAGATCAAGAACTCTAGTAGTGTTGCACCAGGCACCATTTTGTATAGTGTGGCAAGGGCTTTGTGACTGTGGGGACAGCAGTGAGCTGTGGATGCCCTAAGCTTGGCAAGAACTTGCTGAGCTCATTGCATTGCACTGGTGCCACAGGAAAATAATACCAACTATGGCATCCTATGGGTCAAAACAGGTCTGTGTGGCCCTCAGACCTAACAGCCAACAGGTTCCAGCAAGATGACCTGACCACCAACAACAAGCTAGCTATATAGGACACCTGGAGTCTTCCTAATCCTGGAACCTACTCAAACCAGAAGTGGGAGAAAGGTTGCACAGGCAACAGTGCAGCCTCAGCACGGTATCACAGGAGGCAGAGACTGGTGAGCCAGGAGCTGGGGCTATGGAGACCACGGTGGAAAGCTAACCTAAGAACCCAGACCCGGGACTCTCTGGAGGGAATGGCACAAGTGACTGCAAACAAAGAGCCATGTGCCAACTGCAATAAGTAAAATCGAACTGTAGACCTGTGGGTGACACAGCTTAGAAACCTGCCACCAGAAAAAGAATCTGATAAACAGAAGTACAATAACCAAGAGCAAAAGAAGAGTCAAAGCCACAATAAATATTACTGAAGACTCCCCTGCAAAGAAGCAAAACCCTCTGCCATCATCAGAGTTCACTGAGGAAGATATCGAGAAAATGGGGGATACAGAATTCAAAACACTTGTTATAAAACTTCTTAACAACAAGAAGCATGTAAAGGGAGGTATTCAAGGAATTCAAGGAATATATCACACTGGAAATGAATCAAATGAAAGCTAATATATCAGAAACTAAGAATGTAGTGGAGCAAGTTAAAAGTACAGTGGAGAGTCTCCAAAATAGAATGAAGGAGGCAGAAGAAAGAATCTCAAAATTAGAAGATATTTCCTGTCAGCAGGGGGAAACAAACAAAAAGCTGGAAGCAGAGTTGGATCAAGCTAAAAAAAAAGTATTTAAGAATTGAAAGACATTATTAAAAGTCCAAATATAAGAGTTATGGGAGTCCCAGAAGGTGCAAAAAGAGAAGCTGGGTTTACAAATGTATTTAATGAAATAATAAAGGAAAATTTCCCTAATCTAGAGAAAGAATTGGGAAACAATGTCCAGGAGGGGCACAGAACTCTGAACAGACTTGACCAAAAGTGATCTCCATGACATGATAATCAAGCTCTCTTCAAACAAACATAAAATCCTTAAATGTACACGTGAAAAAAAATCAACTGACATATAAAGGAATGTTAAAGTCACAGGAGACCTCTCACAGGAAACTCTACAGGCCAGAGAGAATGCAATGACATATTCCAGATTCTAAAATGAAAAAATTGTCGGCCCAGGATAACGTGCCCAACAAAACTTTCCTTTGTCTTTGAAAATGAAATAAAATTCTTCCACAGTAAAGAAAAGTTAAAAGAATATGCCTCTTCCACACCTGCCCTAGAAAGGATACTTAAAGATGTTCTTTTGACAGAGGAAAGGAATAGCACCCAGCAAAACCAAAGGCAAATGTGAAGAATATCCCAGTGAAATAACAACAGAAAACTAAATCAATGAACAACCCATTGCTAAAATGACAGAACCAAATTATCACCTATTTGAATTAACCCTGAATGTAAATTGCTTAAACTCATCAATCAAACATCATAGATTAGTAGACTGGATTAAAAAACAAAAGCCATCTGTTTGTTTCCTTCAGGAGATACATTTTACCAACAATGATCAGCGGAAATTATATCTCATGGTTTCTGATGTTTTTTGTTAGTTTCATCTCTTCAAAACACTTTCTTCTGATTAAATTCTTCAGTGACTCAGATCATACAGTAATATTTTCCTCAAGAAGGTTCTTGATTTTCTTTTTCGTTTCTTCAGCAACACATTAGTCATTCAGTAGCATGTTATTTAACTTCATGGTGGTGTTCATTTTTTTTTTCTTCCTATTGTTGATTTTTTATTGGTGGCTTTTCATTTAAGGGATGTGTAGTAACTATTTAATGGAGGCTATCATGGGTAAATGTGAGGATACAATACAGTATGCATCTCTACTTCAAGGCAAAGAAGGGTTCCCAATGAAACTGTTTACTATATCTTGACAATAGGATGCTGGACTCTGCCATTGTCCATGCCCACAATAATGAACTCTGTATTAAGAACTATACTATAGTAATGACATAGGGGAACTCAGGGAGAGGGTAGGGAATTTGGGAGGGTATGAGGGAAATCCCAGGGGCTATGGAACTGTATCTTATCATGATAATAATAAAAAGAAGTAAAATTAAAAAAAAAAAAACCTGTATGTTCATCGGTTACTCCCATTGCCTTCTTGGCAAACCAGCATTCTACATTTTGTCTTTATGAATTTGACCACTGTAGGAACCATAGAGTACCCATACTTATTCTTTCATGTCTGGGTGATTTTATTTACTATACTATCTGGGTTTGTATTATAGCATGTATAAGAATTGGCTCCCTTTTGAAAGTTGGATTATATTCCATTGTATGCACATGCCATGTTTTATCTGTTTATCTATTGATAGACACTTGGGTTGGTTGTTTCTATGTTTTGACTGCTGCAAATAATGCTGCTATGAGAATTGCTGTCCAACTTTCCTTAGGATGCTTCTTTTAATTTTTTTTTCAATTTTATATATTCAAAAATGGAACTTGCTGGAGCATATATAGTTCTGTGTTCAATTTCTTGAACTGCCCTACTGTTTTCCATGGTGGCTATACCACTTTACAGCTCTATTGTCAATGCACAGGATTTTAATTTCTCTGAATCTTCACTAATACTTGCTTTATGATTTTTTTTAATTAGCCATCCTTATTGCATGAAAATAGTTATAATTTTCTCATCTTTTCCCCAGCATGTTGTAAACAGTCTTATGTTTGTTAAAGAAATAAATGAGTGAGGAATGATTTATAAGGCATTATAAACCAATCTAGGATGGTTTTAACTTTGTGTATCAAGGGGAGAGAAGATAGGGAATAGCTGGAAGAGGACATGGAGTTGAAGGTGGGAGAGACTGAACACTCAAATACCTGCGAGGGGTTCAGTTAAGAGGGAGTGAAGGTGTCTTTGGGCATGCAACTTTTGAGACGATTTTATTAGATTCTCAGTATTCTTCGTGAGATTGTCTAATCCTAGTCCCCAAAAGAACATCTATTGTCAAAGTAAAATCCCGGTTCCCCAGCATGGCATACAAGATCCATCAGAATCTGGCCTCTGCCTGCTTTCCTGAATGGAGCTGTCCTCTGTCTCCTGTTCCCTCAACTACCCTCTTTTATGGTGTACCTCAAACTTGCTAAATTCCTGAATCATCCATGGCTTCTTTTGTTTCTGTATCTTTGCACAGGTTTCCTCTGTCTCTAATGCCCTTCTTCCCACCAGGGATAGGTGTTCCTTTTATGTGTTTCTGCTAATCCTATGGTCCAAAGGGGGCATTAACTCTTGGAACGTCTCTGATTGCTAGAGTTGGGAAATGATGTTAGTGCAAAGCTTGTCCAGGATTTTATGGGGTTGATCATTGTGCTAGCCCAGCTCTGATTTTTTTTTTTCTTTTTTGAGGATGGCTTATCTTTCTACAGGTAATCTCTGCCATTCAGAGAAATTTCTTTTAGTCACCATTTGATCTTGGAAAGTAGAAAGCTTTCAAATAAAGATTGAGAACGATTTGTTCTGAAAGAAATACATGTATAACAGGAGGACATCAATGTTGACCTATTTTTCTAGAGATCACATTGAAAAAGCTAAAATACTGAGTTCTAAATGTACCTAGACCAGACTTGGGCTGGTTTCATTTCACACTGAGATGCTCATTTTAAGCATGTGTTGTTTGATATGGCTTTTAGGCATTTGGGGACTTTGATTTGGTGTTTGATCTCTTGGAGAGCTCCTCTGCTCGCTCCTGGAGTCACTCTGTAGTTAGGGTGAAACTGACTTACCGTCATGATGTTTTCCCAGGGGGTTACCCTAACAGACCTTCAAGAAGCAGAAAGGACATTCAGCCGGTCAAAGGCCGAGAAGCAGGCTCAGGAGCAACCTGGCGAGAAGCCTGTCGACCCTGAAGGGTTTGAGGAGAGCACCGGGAAGCATGAGCCCTCAGCAGCCCCAGCAGAGGAGGCTGCAGAAGGTCAGCAGCCCTGGGCCCGGGGTCTGGATGAAGAGGTGAGCTCAATTTTTCTGGCATGTGCTGTGCTAAGAGCAGAGTGATTGATTTGATGGGTCTGTCTCTCACTGATTATTCAATTGCTGTGTTCTGTGTCTCCATGGGCAACTGAGAGCAAATACTGTGCATGGCAAACCTGTGCAACTAGAAGACTTCAAAGGACATCAGTCTTTAAGTCATCGTTCTTCTAGAATAAATGTCCTTCTATTCTAAGAAGAGGTCATAGTGTAATAAAAATTAAAATGTGAAGATTTATTGAATGTTGACTTTATGATAGTCATTGCGGTATGTTAATTCACTTAATCCTTACAACTCCTGCTTTATATATGAAGAAATTAAGCCAAAGCTAAGTGCGGAGGCAGGGAATTGAAACATAGGCAGGCCAGCTGCACTGCTAACTCTCCAGATGCAAGTGCATTGCTCCCCAGGCTCCTGTAGCTCTCAGAGCTTGTGAGGCACTCCAGGGCATCGCCACTGGGCTGGACATGTTGCTAGACATTTTAATTTGTGTTCCATTTCTCTAAAAGAGTTTGCTGTCACAGGTATCAGCCATTGTCTCTGTACAATGATCATTTCTCTCCCTTTCACTCACAGAAGTGTCCTGGTTCAGACTCCTCTAAATTTTGTGGTTACTGTGGTTACAGGAGAGAGCGAGCTCTTTGTTCTAAATCTAACTAGCAACATCCCAGTGTGTATTTTGTTTTATTAGCTGCTTTTCATCGAGTACTTGCTGCAATGTATTAAGAGCCTAGCACACATTATCTTATTCAGTCCTCACAACACTGTCTGGAGAAGGTGTCATCCCGGTTTTACTTGAGAAAGGGGGGGAAACTGAAGCTGAGAGAGGTTAACTAATTCAGGATCTCACAGCCAGTAAGTGTTGAAGCCAGATTTTGAACCAAGTTCTGACTCTGAAGCTTACCATATTTTGTTGGTTCTTACTTATGTTTAAAGGGACTTACTCCATGGTCAGAAGGAAGCTTTGTTTTTTCTGGTCTCCCTCCTAAATGGCAGGGATCCATGGCTAAACCCTCACTTGCTTTCTCCCAAGTGTGCATTAGCAGGAAACTTGAATTAGAAGCAGAGCTGGGATTTGAACTCTGGAACTTCATAGGGAGTGCAGGTGTCCCAAGTGGCATCTTAACCATGGCACCAAGCACCTTTATAATTTATAAACAAAAGACACACAGTCTCTATATTGTAAAATTGATGCATAGTAAGACTTTATGTATACATCTACAGTAAACCAAGTTAAAGCTTGGTGTCAAACTCTGCCTCTTCTCTCAGGGGAAAAAAATTTCAAAGGGGGAAATGGGAATCTTAAGACGTGGTTCTGGCTCTTGGCACAGTGCTCATCAGCTCTGTGATTGCAGGTAATCCCTGTGTCTTCCTTCTTTGTATCCTTCAAGTTTTTATTTTCATACATAAACCTTTCCTTTCAGCACCTCATCTTAAAAGGGCCACCATTCTTCCATTTTCAAGCTAAGGCCAAAAAATTTTATTAACATAGTTGATGTTATTCTAGTACTCTTTGGTGAATCTAGAGAAATTTTCTCAGAGTGCTGCTGCTATAATGTTATTCTCAGTATACAAGCTGGTTTTTTTTGTTGTTGTTGTTTAGCAATTTTACTAACTTCCGAGTATCTATAACTGTTAAGCCTCTTCATGTATGAAAAGCCCATTCTGAATAAACCTGCTGTGCTTATCTTTTGGCTGAACTTGACCTTTAACATCTCATCCCACGCATTATTTCTAGCCTGTTTATCGTCGCTTGAGGTATTCATCTCAGCCAGACAAACCCACAACCCCAGTATCTCCTACTGCTTCAAGACCCTCACTCTACACCAGTTCCCACCTGTCAGGGACAAGTAGATCTTCAGCCCCTGAGTCGGAGAGTTCAGAGACAGCTGAGAGCACTGTAGGCGCAAAGGAGATGGACAGAAATGGTATGTAAAGCTTCAGAGATGCACTCCCCCACCCCCACCCCGTGCACATGCCCCAGGAGCCTGAAAGCCGTGCTTTGTCTCTGGCTAGAGGGTGAAGAAGCAGACTTGGATGACCAGTCCTCCAATAAGCTGTCCATCCGCGAGAGGAGGCGGCCCAGGGAGCGGCGGAGAGGCACGGGCATCAATTTCTGGACAAATGATGTAAGTACGTTGCTCCGTGCTGGGGGTGTCATTCTCAGCTACCTTGAGTCCTGCACAGTGGCCTGGGGCTTGTGCATTACCAAGGAAGTATTACCGAGGAGGAGAGAAGAACTTAACTAGGTTGGGACTCATTTAGTAAATGTATACTACATATCCAGTAACTAGAACTTGGTAAATAATTGGTGAAGAGTTTAAAAAAAAACAAAACTGCAAATTTACAACAGCATCTAAACATGGCAAATGAATCAGCTTGCCAGGTTCTATCAGTCTTCCTTAACATTGCCCTAAAAGCCATAATTAAATAGCATCTTAATATCACACCTAAACAGAAAGCTGCAAGAATTTCAAGAGCTTAAAATTGTTAAGCAAGATAATAAGTTCCTTTGATCCAATTTTACTCCTTTGGTCAAAATAAGGAACAAATAATATAAAACAGATTAACTTTGGGCCTGACATGGTAGCCTAGTGGCTGAAATCCTCGCCTTGCATGTGCCAGAATCCCATGTTGGCACCAGTTTGTGTCCCGGCTGCTCCACTTCCCATTCTGCTCCCTGCTTGTCACCTGGGAGGGCAGTAGAGGGGAGCTCGAGGCTTCTGGACCCTGTGCACATGTGGGAGACCTGGAGGAAGCTCCTGGCTCCTGGCCGTGTATTCACTGAGCTCTGGCTGTTGCAGCCACTTGGGAAGTGAACCAGCGGAAGGAAGAGTTTCCTCTCTGTTGTTCCTTCTCTATGTAAATATGACTTTCCAATAAATAAATCTTTAAGGAAAGAAAAAAAAAGTTTAACTTTGACTTTAAAATAAAAATAGGCACCCCTATGCCTAGTAACTATAAATATATACCCAGTGCATGAATGCACCTCCCTTATATCTTGCAGCATACCTTTCTCACTCAGCCTTGTTATTGATGTTTTAAAAATCAAATGGCAGTAGTCTGAAGTCTGACAGCAAGGAGTCGTGCACCCTCTTCTCGCACGTCACCTACCATCACCCTGCAGACAGAGGAGGAAGGCAGAGACATTACTGTCACCCTCTGCATCCCAACCGGTGCCCCACGTGGGTCTGCAATCCCCTCACCTTTGTAATGAACATTTAATAAACTAAATTTTTTTAAAAAAAAATCAAGTGTCAGGCCCAGCTCTGTGTCCTAGCGGCTGGGGTCCTCACCTTGAATGCACCAGGATCCCTTATGGGTGCTGGTTCTAATCCAGGCTGCTCCACTTCCCATCCGACTCCCTGCTTGTGGCCTGGGAAAGCAGTTGAGGACGGCCCAAAGCCTTGGGACCCTGCACCGATGTGGGAGACCTGGAGGAAATTCCTGGCTTCAGATCAGTGTAGTACCAGCCATTGCAGCCACTTGGGGAGTGAATCATTGGATAGAAGATCTTCCTCTCTGTCTCTCCTGCTCTCTATACATCTGACTTTCCAATTTAAAAATCTTTTTAAAAAAAAATTAAGTGGCCTTGGTATCTCTCCTCCCCTTCTGAGAGGCACCCCACCTCCCTGCTCTCTCTCAGGAGGTGCTTTTCCCTTCCCTTTTTTTCCTCATTCATCTGGTCCTTTCACAAATAAACTTCTCTGTCTACAAAAAAAAAGTCAAGTGGCCAGTGACTTGACTTGAACAATAGGACCCTATTTGCCATCAGATCATTTGAAAATTAGCTTGAGGTAGTAAAAATCATCTAATAGAAACTGATAACAGTATAAAGCCAAATAGACTGGTAATTATTGACAAAGATAAGATTAATTCTCTCTTGAAGCTGCCTCCTTTCCAACCATGGTTTGATTTGACCTCTCTGGGTGCAGGTGAGCTCTGTGAGTGGACAGGCTGTGATGGCTGTTAAAAGTGATAGCCACAGAGCCTCACACTGCAGTCAGCCCCTGCTGCCCCATGTGAATGGCAACCTGCGTAATTGATGGGAGCTGACCTTGGTGCTCATCTTGTTGGTTTTCTTCCTCCTCCCTTTTCAGGACGATGCCACTGATGTCTCTGAAGAGGTCAAGCAGGCATGGGTAAGTGACAGACCAGTGAGGCATGTTCCTTTACAGCTCAATTTTGCACTTGTGTGGACAGTTTTGGTAGAAGAAAGAGCAAGCTCAGGGGATATTAGGAGATTGGCATTTCTTTGAGCAATGTGCTTGGTGTTAGTTGGTGGTGTTATTTTCTCCTGTGGAACAGCGATTTAACAGGTTTTCAGCATTTTTCTGTGTCTGTGGCTGATTTCTAATGCTGTCAAAGGATCTTTTTGTTTCTTGAATGTGTCTTATTGGATTACATAAAGTACTTTGAAATATTTTGACGAAAAATAAGCACGATGCCAACTTTCTGACATGTTTCTGAAAGCTTGGCTCCTGACCCCAGCGCAGAATCAAAGTATCTAGGATGAGGTTCAAGGGGAAAGGAAAGAGAACATTTAATCTGTCAACAGGTGAGGAAGTAACAGACTTCCAAGGCTCAAACACTATTCCCCTGTTGAGTGAGAGTGTTTTGGGTTTTTTAATGAGGCTACTAGGAGGGAAAGTCAGGAATAAGGGGAGCAAAGGGTAGGGACAGCTACATTCTGGCCTCCCAGGCTGTAAGGGGCCGTTGGAGTCACAGGAGTTAGGTAGTCTGCATATCTTCTGAATTCTTCCGGAAATGTTTGTAATAGTGAGTGGGCTTCAGGGCTCTGTGGGTTGGGCCTGGAGTTCCCCTGCCTAGACCTGGAATTCACCTAAATGAAACAGCTGGAGACAGTACTGACCACTGAGGGGTCATCTGTTGGAGAAGCAAATGACCTCCTGGGTCTGGTCCAGCTATCCTACCCCCTCAAATACAGTGACTTAAACTAAGGTTAGGAGATAGGGCCTGGTGGTTTCTAGCATCTACATTCAGAGCATTGCTTGGGGGGCTCTATTTCATGTTGGTCAGCACTAATAGAGAGGAACATATATGTGGAGAATGTAAAACATCAGACAGTCCAGAAGGTATTTATAGCTTACTTTGAAATGAGAGTAGACACCTGGCCTCTTAAACATCTCTACTGTGGAAATGCTGGCACTCAGCTTCTCTACAGTGAAAGGACCAAGCCCAGCCTTGGTGAGGAGCCTCCTGACTCCCCAGAAACCAAGCAAGCACTGTGGGGAGGTGGCAGCTTTCGTCTCAGTGTTAATTTTCAAAAAGGAAGGAATTTGGTCTTGACAAAATTAACTATTGGCATATGCTTTCCTGTCGGACATAATGTAAAAAGATGTATTTTTTGAACTCTCCTGTTTATTTGAAGTGTTTTTCTTAAATTATACTTAATGCCCCATACTGAAAATTGGCAACTAATTCATTTTTAGCAGAGGACATATTGGCCTGTCTATTATTCAAGATCCTTCAACCTCTGGTTGAAGCTAAGCTTCTTAAAAGTGAGCTGTGTTGTGTAGAAATAGCACATAGAGGTTCTCTTGTGTGGAGGTTGAGGGGGAATTGCCTCACCTCTTAGATTCAGGGGCTTGGGAAGGATTTTGGAGGCAAGGACAAGTGAACAAAGTTCCTTTGGCCTGCATTATGGCATAGCGGATAAACCCACTGCCTGAGATGCTGGCATTCCAAATGGATGCCAGTTGGTGTCCTGGTTGCTCCATTTCCAATTCAGCTGCATGCTAATGGCCTGAGAAAAGCAGCAGCAAATTGTCTAAGTGGGCCCTGCCACCAGTGTGAGAGATTTGGGAGAAATTCCTGGCTCCTGGCTCCTGGCTCCTGGCTCCTGGCTTTGGCTTGACACCCTGCTGGCTGTTACAGCTGTCTGGGGAGTAAACAAGTGGATGGAAGACCTCTCTCTGTTTCCTTGAATCTAGCTCTGACTTTCAAGTGAATCTGAAGAATGAAAAAAATAAAAGTTTCTTGGGGATTTTAAGATATCTAAACAATGAATCTAAATGAGAGATTACATTGCATTTTAATGGACTGTAATCCCTAAAGCATTTAAATCCAAGGAATTACAAAAAGGAAGGTTTTGTTTGTTGTCATAAAGTCTTTTGTCAGTGAAACTTTTTCTACTTTTCTAAACTTTTAGTACAGGACAATCCTAGCCTAGGGCACCAAAGAAAATTAAAATGATCTTAATGCAGTGCATCTCTAAGAATTTCATTTTAGGATCATTGACTTAAAATTATACAACAGACTTTCTCATGAAAGTCATTTATCTGAAAAATACTCATCCAATTGGTTGAGACATCTGCTAGTGTTTCGCAGTATAAAGGAGACTGCAGCGTGAATCCAGGAATAATAGCCAGCTAACTCTGGCCTGGCTGCTTGGGACAGATAGTACTCAGGACAGGGTTGGTACAAGCGTATTCCAGGTGCCAGGGCCAGGCTTGCCAACAGTGCCAAAGAGACAGATGGTGGTCAGCACAGGGTGAAGCATCCTTTTTGGAAAAGTCTACTTTTTGAACAGATTTGTTTTACTTTAAAGTTGGAGTTACAGATAGAGAGAAGAGACATGCAGAGAGATCTTCTACCACTGGTACCCAAATGGCCACCACAGCCAGAGCTGGGCTGGTTCAAAACCAGGAGCCAGAAGCTTCTTCTGGGTCTCCTGCATGGGTTCAGGAACCCAAACATTTGAGCCATTTCCACAGCTTTCCCAGGCACATTAGCAGGGGACTGGATTGGAAGTGGAACAACCAGGGTATGAACCAGTACCTATTTGGTATTCTGGCATTGCAGATGATGGCTTTATCCACTATATCATGACACTCATGTCCTAGTTTTATAAAATGAATCCTTTCCAGGATTCTGACATCTACTTCTTTTAAGCTAAGAGATAGTTTTCAATCACTAAGACAGATTTTAATTGTACCATTTGATAAGGTTTGGCACCTGGATTTAGCAACATAACCACAATCCTAACCAGGATATGAAACTTTTTCATCACCTTAAAAAGCTCCCTTGGGCCAGCATTGTGACATAGCAGGTAGGCTGCCACCTGCAATGCTGGCATCTCATGTCGAGACCAGTTTGTGTGCCAGATGCTTCACTTTCGATCTAGCTCCTATAATGGGGAAAAGCAATAGATGAGTGAAAAGTGGTGCAGCTAACACATAAACTGACACATTAGCATGGGATGCGGTGTCACAGGTAGTGGCCTCACACGCTATGCTAAAACACCGACCCTGAATAATACTTACTTTTATGGGTAGAAAGAAACTTCATGATTATTACCTGCATTATGCCACAATGTGGGATTAGTGCTAAAATGACTTTTTAAGCATATATTTTTCTATTTTCTTCCTATATTTCTTTCTTTTTTTAAAATAAATTAACTGGTCTTATTTGAAAGGCAGAGTTACAGAGAGGAGAGACAGCAAGAAGTATCTTCCATTGCTGGTTCATGCCCCAAATGGTCACAACAGCCAGTGCCATACCATCCTGAAGCCAAGAGCCAGGAGGTTTTTCCTGGTCTCCCATGTGAGTGCAGGGGCCCAAGTAGTTGAGTCATCTACTGCTGCTTTCCCTGGCACATTAGCAAGGAACTAGATTTGAAGTTCTGAGGCAGCCAGTATTTGGACCTGCACCCGTATAGGATGCAGGCAGCAGCTCCACCGTCCAAGTCACAGGGAGGGAGAGCAGGGAGGACTTCTTAGATTCTAAAAGAAAGTGGTTGTTTTTGTTGTTGATTTTAATTATTTTTATTTGAAAGGGAGGTTTTACAGAGAGAAGGAAAGAGCTCTCCCATTCATTGATTCACTCCCCAAACGGCTGGAACTAAGTTGATGCGAAGTCAGGAGCCAGGAACTTTCTGGATCTCCCACATGTGCGCAGGGCCTCAAGGACTTTCTCTGATTTCCTAGACCATAAACCTGGATGCTGATTCAGAACTGAAGCAGCTGGGACTAGAACCAGTACTCATATGGGATACCAGAACTGCAGGTGAAGGATTAGCCTATTGAGCCACTTCCCCCAAAAGAAGATACTTAAGTTGATTACTGCCAAAGGAGTGATTACAGTATGGCTAAGAAGGCCCTTTTTGTTGTTTAACTTAAATCTCTGTTAATGACATTGCATGCAGATAAGACTTGTGGTCAGGATTGGTCCTTTGTATGTGGTCGAGAGAGCTGCCATCCCTCTGTATTGTGGTGACACTGAGGGATATGCCTTGAGGAGTCAGGAACCAGCCCTTCAGTAAATCCATGGACCAGTGAAATGAAAAACGGGATGTATAATTTGACATCTATAATTTGACCTCCTTGACAGATGTGTTTAAAACAGTTGTGTTTCATTATCCATATTAGGGAAGTGACAGGTAGTCAATAACTCCTTTGTCTTGTTAAATGAAAAAGAAACAGAATCTTAACTTGCAGAAGAAGGTAACTCCTACCATGCCTGAAGATGCCTTTAGACTCCGGGGTGTGTTTCGTGTTTTCTTTATGATACAGTAGCCTTTCCTACTTGGGGAGGGAGCGTTATGCTCCAAGATTCCCTGAGTGGATGCCTGAAACCTCAGATAGCAGTGGACCCTACAGATACTACGTTTTGTCCTATGTATACATACTTATAATAAGGTTTCATTTGAAGATCAGCATAGTAAGTGCTAAGTAAGAGATTAACAATAATAGATGTTAACAAAGTAAAATAATCATAGCCACATTTTACAATAAAATTGCCACTATCACTTTTTTTTTTCACTATCACTTTTCAAATTTATTTTTGTAAAGTCAGATATACAGAGAGGAGAGACAGAGAGATCTTCTATCCAATGATTCACTCCGCAAGCGTCGACAACAGCTGGATCTCAGCCAATCTGAAGCCAGGAGCCAGGAACTTCCTCCAGGTCTTCCATGCAGGTGCAGGGTCCCAAGGCTTTGGGCCATCCTCAACTGCTTTCCCAGGCCACAAGCAGGGAGTCGGATGGGAAGCAGGGCTGCTGGGATTAGAACCAACACCCATATGGGGATCCCTGTGCCTGCAAAGTGAGGACTTTAGCTGCTAGGTTACTGCACCGGGCCCAGTATTACTACTTTAATGCTATGGAACCCTTAATAAG